TTCTCAAGTACTAATCATCACATTTCAACGAAACATTGTACATGGATGCTGTAGGACAATAGACTGAATAATTGTGGGTTAAAATCTGTACATATTAATTACTAATTTGCATAATTAACCACTTTTAACCTATCACACTGATATCTAAAGTACTAATTATTTCATTTCAATGAAACTTGGTGCAAAGATGCTCTAGGACAATGTACAAACCGGATTAGTTTGGGGTTAAAATCCGTTTATTTTAATTCCCTAATTAGCATAATAATTCATAATTTTTTTTGGTTCCAATCACATTTCAATAAAACTTTGTATATAGATGGTCTGTTACATTGCGCAGACCTCATTAGTTTTACACTCAAATCTGTTCATATTAATTTTCTGATTTGCATTATTAGTTTTCAGCTTTTCCATCACTATCTCAATCAAGTACAAGTAATTTTGAATTATATTTAATGTGTCTTCAATACTCTCAGCACATGGGAGTTCTTTCTAAGCTTTCTTTGATTTTAAAGTGTTGGTACTCGCGAAAGCACATGAGTTGAAATCACATATTATGTTATAAAAAATATAAATATACAATGGAATACAAAAAGCTGGGGATGTTATAAACGTTTTATAAAAATATAATGACTCACTGGTAGAATTTAGATTGACCAACCCAGAAACCGATATGGCGACATCATCGCATTCAGTTCAACATCATCAAATCAGCAAGTTCTTCCTTTTAACTAAGTGGGCGATCGCATTTGCCAATGAAGGTGTGCGTGGGCATTATGGGCATTATATGTCGGAGATTGTTTTAGCATCGAGCTTGGTACAGATTTGCGATTCTGACAGCATACCAGTCAGCCAATCTGCTATAGTTAATTTTGCCCAATCAACTATCGTTTCTTTTATCCAATCACCCATTGTACTTATCAACCTATCATAGCTATGTAATCTGAAACGTTTCCCTCCTGAACTTGACGGACATATCCCGGACATATCCCGGGCAGTTCCCTGTTCCAAGTTTGCTGTATCGTGTCAATGTCACATGTATGTAACGTGTAATATACCTGTTGTCATCTAACCTCTAACGTACTGCTGAGTCGCATCGCTTCCGTATTTCAAGAACCAACGTTCTATATATTTTAAAAATTTGGAGCTTTCCAGTCAATCATTATCAAATATATAAATTTGAAAATATTTGAACATTATTCTCACAAAATAAGAGATTTAAGTATGGTGCATTATGGGAGCATTACTTTATTAATAAAATAGTATTTCCTCGAGAACTAGTGGTATATGCAGTGTTGCTTTCAAGTTATTTTAAAATCACAAACATGTTATACGCGGCGACCACTTTCCATTTTAGACGGTTATGGATCTTCTGAAAAAAGTAATTCTGCCCTACCATCATTATCTCTGATTGACTCAGGCTGTGTTTTTTTCTTACAGTGGTTGCCAGGACGGCGAGGGCGAGTTCTACTTCTACTCCAACCAAGCTAAAAGTATACTGGAGACAATAATGTCGAAAATCAACGACGCTGTGGAGAAATTGAATATTCCGCAGGCACGAAAACGAGAAGGCGACGAACGAGATGACAACTGCAATGAACGAAACCCGAAAGAAAACGAAACAGAAAAACAGGGTCAACTCGACAACAGAGACGCTGAGTCCGTAGACACTGGGATATCGTCTGCTTCAGAGTCGTCCCGTATTTCAGAAGTTGGAATAGAACTGCAAACCGACAAAACAGTAACTACAAAAACTGACATAGACGGAGATATGTCAGAAAAGGCAAGCACTTCAGTGTCAGGGAAAGTGTCCGTATCTGACTCACCCCCCTGTAGGCCGATTGAACTGTCGAACAATACTGAAAAAGTCAGCCAATTAAGCGAGACCACTGACGTCACACGCAAACCTAACTCCGGATTGGACGAAAGTGGTGACAACATAACGTCACCACACTCCAGCCCATTAGGTACGTTGGGTTCATGTAGCCCGCGTAGTCTGCGACGTGCCTCCAATTCATCTAGCGGTTACTGGTCGGATGCCCCAGAGAGTCGATATAAGGAGATTGCAAATAACGAAATATCTGACGATAGTGGACATTATCAAAACATTAACTCACAGTTTTATAATCATAATTCATTAACGAATGAAGGGCGTTCTCAAAGTGTTTCTTTTTCTCTTTATAGTGGCGCAGACAGAATAACTGAGCCAAGACGACACTCTGAATCTGGTGGACATGTGTATGACTGGCCAATTATAAATTACGACACAAAACAACAACGTACAGTACGACTGTCGAAATATCTTCCTCATCAGGAATTTCGCAACTCTGACATTTTGACGGACGTGGCCACAAGTGACCCAGAATTCAGCAAAATTCCAGCACCCTTTGATTTGATAGACGTGCATTCGTTAAGCGGCCGTATCAAGTTACCCGTCAACAAATTTTGCGACGTCAACAAGCAGACGACAGCTTTACCTGACATCCCTCCAGAAGTTCCGAAAAGATCAACATCGTTGCCGAAGATAAGGTCGTCGCGTCGTGGGGATAAGAAATCAAAGAAGTCCAATAGGTTATCTCGTTTCATTTCATCGCTAGCTGTGAAAATGTCATCACCTCCATCAATCAAATCATCTTCTAAACGTTATTCATATTCACAACAAATGGTTACATCATCACCAACTTTATCTACGGGTGGCTCGAATAATATTACTTATCAGGTTCGACGTGGCAAATCATGCGACGACCTGGACGATTATCAATCTCTGAGGAAGCCAGCTGAAAACAAATTAACGACAATGAACAAAACATCACTCAGCACGTTTCGATCTTCTTCCACCGATCTACATTCAACACGCGTTTATGATGCGCTCGTTGGTGTACGGCGTCTCCCGGAGCAGACGCTGGTGGCGGTACACACACAGCGAATATCGTATGCGAGCATCAACGCAGAGAAACCAGACATAATAAACGTTACACAAGTACGCAAGGACAATGATTTAGTGCATCCTTCCACAAATGTAGGGAAGGGAATTGAGACATTAATAGACGCGAATAACACGGAATATGGTGACGATTATGTGAATATGGAGGATTCGGTAGACTATGAACATATGAATAATTGTGCAATATATATAAACTCTTAAACGTTGTTGTCATGACAACATATTACTGCGAGCCATTGATTATTATTTTTGTTGTTCTATAATTTATTTGTTGTCATGGTATTCTTGTACTTATTATCAGTGTATCCAGTGAAATAAAACTTGAATAATTAATTTTATTTTCTTGAGTAATTTGCATACATTTAATTTAATTTAATTTAATTTCACTTAATATTTTTTTCGTAATGATTAAATAAATAGTACGTTTTATTTTATACTTCCCGATAATCAATGTCATTTATTTCTCTCATTAAAGGGCGGCAGTCGTCACGCCGCGTCCTGTTCGATATGGGACTCACAGCGACGTATACAACGCGTGTAAAATACATTGTTTGTGAAATGAAATGAAAGTCGAACACGCGCTGCGTGACGACCACCGCGTTTTAATAAGCACGGAACACGGATATCTGAAAAGTCAAAACAGCTGCACATGATTCTGCACAAAAACCACAGGGAGCCCATGAAAGACGGCTGATAGCAGGACGGGCGTACTAGGGGTAAAAACTGTCACTATAAAATACTGGTCATAATAGTCTCTCTATCCGCCCGTGGCTAGCGGAACCAATGCAGGCATACCCACTATTGAAAATAGTAAAAGAAATAACCCTGGCACCATCGTACGGATACATAAGTAATTCGGTGTTACTTATGACCAATCCTTTAATATTCTATCATTGACTTTTCTATCTTTAGTATTAATATTTCCCTAAAATCCTTGTACAAAAAATCTATCAAATCATTTTGGTATTGCATTCAGTTTATAGTATCTGGAGTAATCTTTTGGCAGACTGTAATAAATGTGGTTAATCGTAGAGGGCGTCCTAATATTTTCCACAGTTACAACTTTTGGAAGAATGGACGAGTGCACGCCCTCTGCAGGTTTTGTTATCGGTAAATGTACCAAGTGTAACATGGTATCTTATTTATCATGATGCATCCTGGGAATTACCAACCATTAAAAGTAATTATTTATGATAGAGATCACAGAGGGTACAATTGTACTAGGAACAAATTTCTTGAGAGGTTATTGATGGCAGTTGTTAGGACTTTATTTTCAATTGTTTAAATAAGGAAGAGACAATTCAGTCTTGAACAAGAAATTTGATTTTCTATCTTTGAACATGGAATTGGGACGTAAATGCCCTCCTCAAAGAGATCTAATCAAGAGGAAAGCAGCTTTGAGACTTGTTATTGCTTATCGAATTCCAGTCTTTTTCTCAATTGCATCCCCGGATATCAAGATTTAACGATACTTAGATGAGTGAATGGAACATTATTTTGGTGCAAAAATCACATCTTGTTGCATTCACACAAAAATCTAGACGTCCGTTTGAGTCTCGGGTCAATTGTTGAAATATTAAGTGTACTGCATATAAATGGTACCCAGAAGCAGAGAGTTTTCACTATTGCAAGTACGTGTATCAATGTCACAACATCCCCAGTAAGGGTTATTAAGAATATTCCCAATGATGCAGCGGAAAATAGAGAGCAGTGTAATGGAAATATTTATTTCTGGCTGTATCAATTTCATGATAGCGTCGTTTTGCGATCTTTTCTGAGAAACCAGACGTCCCTTTGATCATCAATAATATATTTCAATTCTAGCTTCATATTTCCTTGATGACACTGAAAACAATCAGGATCTATAATCGGGTACAAATGATCTTCAACATAATCCACACAAACGCATAACCTCCTGTATAATATTGCTTTTAATTAAAAAAAAAACAGCACAAAAAGTTTAAATCTTTTTACAATCCATAAATGTGAAGTACATATGCATTACATACTACAAGTGTCTAATATGGACAGAGTAAGAAAAAAAAAAACGAAATTAACCAATTTACACCAAGAAATAGAAATAAGCGACTGTTACACACGCCAGGCAGTGGAGCTACTTGACAAGACAGGTAGGAAGGCAAGGCAGTGTTGGGATATGTTATTTCTAAACTAATTAAATTTCTAATACATACTTTAATAGTCACTCATACTACTTTCTTTGCAAGAAATTAAAGCATGTCCACTCAGAAACTTACATAGCGTACTATTATTTATATACAATCTCTGTCTCACGCTGGGGTAAAAAACAGCTGGGAATCACACTTTTTAAATTAGTTAAAGAAGGAAGACAAGTACTATTATGTTAGCATTACAAATCTGGTTACTTAATTGCACATGGATGTTACATAATGATTTACATAATGAAGCTAAAGTTTTAAACTTAGCTGTGAGTATATTTCAGTGTCTCAGATTGTCATGAAGCTTCATGACAGGGCAAGGTACTAGACATTTAAAAAATCGCGATCGTTCCATTAGGTGTTGATATTGATGTAAATGTCATTTCAAAGTAGTGTACATAGAAGATATAAAGATAGTATCACTGAAAGATTGTCAAAACTAAGTTTAGTATCATTCAGATACAGCTGAAATAATCGTCAGAGACTGACCAAACGTTTAATATCATTCAATGACAGTCAAAACACATTAGCATCATTCAGAGACAAAATGTGTTGTACTGTGTTCGGAGACCGCCGAAATGATCAGTTAACACATAGACCCTCTAGAGGGTCTATGGTTAACACAACATAAGATTGTAATTGAAAAGCACTTTTCCTAATTGAGCAATTACAATAAAGGACTGGTCAAGGCCAACAAGATTCAAATCTTGTATTTGAAGATCAATTGCTATTGTTAACTACACACCTTTCCAGAAATGAATATTACAAAAAAGTAGCATATCATGGAATGGTCTTAACCTCGCTTGAACAGATATCCAAGAAGTTAGCACCAACATCAAAGTATAAAACATGATCTGTAGCCTAGACCCCATGTGACGTTCCACTCACTATACACCACTCTTCTGATACCTACTGTACTTGCATGATCAAATGACACACTGGGAATTCCCTTATATCTCAGATTGATTGACAATGTTACTGTTCGCGGCATTCTCATTCAACCAATCGTCATATCAGTAGCATCTTAGCAAAATGTTAGTGGAGTGGTGTACAACGAGTGGAATGCTGCACAGATCAAAGACACAGAAAGATAGCCACTTAGCATGTCCCTATGTAATCCAGTAAAACACTACTGTATCCAGCCACAATAGATGAATTCACAAAATGAATGAAAATAGAAACACTCTATGCGATCATAACCTAGGACAGGTGGGAGATCACCAATACAAAAGTTAACAAAATACAGATAGCTGTTGTCTTATTGCTGGCACATTGCTGTATAAAAACGCATGCTAATATTTCAGATCTCAACTTTGACGAATAGTGAGAGATGCACAACTCGCCTCAATGGTGACAGATCTAAACTTTTGAAATGCTGCATTTTATATGAAAAACCACAAGGGACTCTGTACAATAATCTCTGGAATCTAGGAAATAATTTAAATCTTATTATTTTTATTAATCAAATCGACTATCTTAGTGTGAATTATATGAAATTTAGTAAAGTTCATCAACACAGAATGTTGCACTGGCTGAGGTCAGAAGCAATATATTTCTAAAAGAACTATTTATTAAAAAGTGTATCTGTATTTACAAAACTGATACTTAAATAATAATTACCAGCCTGTTCAAATAGGGTAGGGAAAATACAGTCCCATAATATATTCCATTTTATATATCAATCCTTATTCAGATACCCTTTTCACCAAATTATTTTGGATATTGTTTGAAGTCGCTTATGTTTTAACAATATTTTGTAAGCTTATGTACAGGAAATAACTTCTGTTTGGTAGAAATGTTTTGTCTTAATTTTGCGATATGAATTATTTTGCGAATAAGTAACACTATAAAAAAAGTTGCAACAGTATTAAAATCTACACTACACATGCTTGCACTGTGATATTCCGTAGCACCTTATTATCCCAACCCCCCTCCCCTCCCCATCCCTTGCAATGCAATGAACAAAGCCCTATTGTACTCTATGGATGGATCATACCAAGTGAAACATAACAGGGGTAGATAAGAACACGTACAAATAAATTGATGTGAAGACAGAAAAATATAACAGTTTTTGAGGTAACGATTGGGGCAGGCCATGACTTTCAGTATTTTTCATAATGATAATGCTTTTAATTGGAGAATTCTTTTTTTTTTTTATAAAATGTACTTCGAAAATGTGAACTTCAGCAGACAATTGTGAACATCACACAATGACCTAGACCTCCAGGTATTGAAACTTCCTACTACGCAGTACAGACTCTTTTTTACTCTAATTTCTTGGTATATATGAACAACTATAAAAAACATAGTTATCAATGTACTCATTTAAACGAATGAGTATTAAATATATAACATGCAAAGTGTTTGTCAAAATAAATTCTAAATAAAATTTAAATTTTCTGAACAAGACAAAATAACAAAATTTCTTTTCTGTTAAAAACAAAACAAATTATACAACTTGCAGAGGGTGACTATTTGTTACTAATTCAATTGTATGACAATGACTTTGACTATGACAGTGACAAAGACGAGTCAGAGTGAACCTTGCATAGAGTAAGCTAGACTTAATAAAATATAGTTAAAAAAAAATATGATAAAATAACGATTAAAACAAAGTTCTATGAAACTTCGTTCTTTTTACCTCATCACTATTAGCTTTCTATCTAAGTTCTTATTTACAGGAACCTTCACCTTGGCTGTAAAAGCGCTATAAGTTTATTTTTTTATTTGACGCAGATATTATTTATCTGTGAAACAAAGAGATTAGCACGAGGGGCATGCGACCCTGTTTTTCATATTCGAGGACCTGATCTGTCGTTAGATTGAGTCTGCCGAAGCCGAACCCCTCTTCTGATTTCACTTAACCAACTTGTTGATGTTTCAGAGGTGGATGATGACGAACTGTTATTGTCATCAACGGTATTGGAAGAAAAGTCTGGTTGTTGTTGTTGTTGCTGCTGCAGCTGTTGTTGCTTTGCAAATTTAGCTTCTAAGCTTTGAATGAAGGTTATTTTATTACTGACAGGAGCAGTTTCAACCATGCTGGAACTGTTAGGCGATGTGACGTCGCTGCAACTGCGTCGATGTGTCATGTGATGAGATCCTTGATTTTGCTGATTATCGTGTTGTTGTTGCTGCGGCTGTTGATACTGCTGCTGCAACATCTGACGTTCCTGATTCTGTCTCTCAAATGCTTGATTATTCTGCAGTTGTTGAGTTTGCTGGTAAATTTCTTGTGGATTATCATACGGCTGTCGCTGCTTTTGCTGGAACTGCTGTGTTTGCTGGTATATCTCCTGACGATTATCAAAACGCTGTTGTTGCATCTGTTGATACAGATCTTGGGAATTATCATAACGCTGCTGTTGTTGCTGCTGTTGCTGCTGCTGCTGTTGTTGTTGTAGTTCTTGCTGTTGTTGCTGCTGCTGCTGTCTTTGCTGCTGGTACTGCAGCTGCTTTTGCTGAAATTGCTGTTGTTGTTGCGTAAGTTGATAACGTTGCTGCAGCTGATACTGGTGTCGTTGCTGTATCTGCTGATACATTTCCTGCTGGTGCTTTGTTTTCATTGTTCTATAATCGTGTGATCCGAGACTAGCACTGCTGCTGGGCCTTGGTAGAGTACTGTACTTTGTACAGGGTACTTCATAATGTTGTTCGTGTTGTTTACGAGAATTGAAATTCATACCGTGGGTTAACTGATTATTATTATGAGAACTATAATTTGAACTACTATCGGAATCATCATCATCATAATCATCATTTTGCGATAACGGATTAGACGTTGTCCTTCTCACAGGCGGAGGTGGTTTGTTCCTCCTGAGCGTCCCTCCTCCTCCCCCTCCTACAGTCACGTTAGCTCCTCTGACTGTTGTTATCCCAACTGTGGATGCGGGTCTTTTCGGCTGTATCATAGGCGTGTACGCTTGGCTGACATCGCCATTGCGGGGTATCGTTGAAAATCGGTCATAATCATCATTAACATCACCATCCAGTGAGTAGTAATCACCATCTATGTGAAAATACAAAATAAAAAGTTAATACATGTTCCACACAGTCCAATGTAACTTCAAAGATTTTTTTGTTTAATAGTTAAAATGCAATGATTATGAATCAGCTGGCCACAATTCTTTATTACAATGTCTCCAGTTGTTGTCATGGTTACTGCATCATTTAAATATGGAACACATGCAACGTGTACAATGAGTGTAAAACAACACTTTAAAGCACAATGATGGTGAGTTTTTGAGTTTACGTTGTCAACAATAAAACACACGAGTACAATTGACAATAATCATGTGATGATAAAGAGAAGCATTTACTTGTTTTCTATTAAAAAATAAAAAATTGGACAAACCCAACTGAATTTATACTACTGTAAAGTACCTTATTTTAGACTTGGAATTTCTTTTTGCTGAAAGGTTGAAACACTGAAAATATAATCCGTGAAAATACCTCTTTTCCTATAGTTTACATTCAACTCATCAAAAATCAGTGAAAATAAACTTCATTCACAACTGCCGATACGTCTTTTCAGCAAAAATTAATTCAAGCTAAAATTAAGTATTTTACAGTACAATGAAATGCATCACATTAAAGCATGAGCTCCTGCTGCATACAGTTGATCGGACATTAATAAAACTGAATGAACTCAACCACTGTTAAAATAAGGATGCATTGAAATAAAATGACGTGCAATGACAGACCATGGTGTGCTTATCTTACTAGTATTTTGAAAAGGATCCTGGAATAGTTTAGTGACAGGGAAAAAAACAGATTATAACTGAGTTAAATTGAACTCTTTTTTACGGTATGAAAAGTAGCATGGTATTTTTCATTCGTGCACTGAATAAAACTTTGTCGTCCTAATTTTTTATCGACATGTTATCAATGTATTCAATAAAATTTCATTGGTTTAATTTGACAGTCTAAGCGTGGAGCTAAAAAAAGGAGAATGAACTGACTTATCCTACTACATTTTGTTTTTGAGCTAATTATTCTTTTGTATACACTAACCTTTTATTCCACTGACATGTGTTTGATAGGAGGGGACATGTGGACATTTGTAATTGCATTGGCAGTTTTCAAATCTTGGAATACTACTTTGTTAAAAACGAATGGCAAAATGAGCCGAGGGTTTTTTTCTTCTCTTTTTTACGCTGCTGCAAGTGATTTTCCAGTCAGTTAGAATCATTTTAAACTGTCGTCATCATTTTGGACTCCGTGAATGTTGTTTAGACTGGGTTGTAGCTCAGTGGTTGTAATGAATGCAAAACTGTTAATTTGAATACTGTAAAAACATTTAATTGATGCTTAGATCATATTCACTGAATTTTAATTTCACAAATTTCTTGAGGAAACAATGAGTTTTATTGTTATTTGAAATGTACACATAGATTTAATTTAGGGGATTTCACTTATCAGAGAAAATAGCAAAATTAAAAACCCTGTGAATAATTAATGCATTTATAGTTTTTACGTCTGGTAATCTCTGGATAAACCCACTAAATGTTATCTTTAGAGCAAATAGTTGGCAGAGGTGATGGAAACAATGGCATCAAAAAAAGTTCACTATTCTATTTTTTTTAGCTCCATCATCTATGTCAAAATCCCAGATTTGTAAATGGCTTTGTCTGTTGATCTTTTCAAAGTAAACATATAAATAAATAAATAAATAAATAAATAAATAAATAAATAAATAAATAAATAAATAAATAAATAAATAAATAAATAAATAAATAAATAAATAAATAAATAAATAAATAAATAAATAAATAACAATGTATGGTACTACATATTTAAATTTGCTAACAATACAGAATACAAGTGCCTTTACATATCTTTCAGTTTGATGGTTAATAACATTTTTGTGCCGAGTATTCTCAGAGCCAGTTATTGACTTGTTCATCCTTCTGAGTGTTGTTTCACTTCATTGATTCCATCAGGTACTACTTACTAGTCAATATACTGCCTAATAGTGTTAAGTTATAAGTTGATTGAATAAATTTTAACTGGGTGGCTGAATATTTTTTACTGATTATACCATAGGAGTGAAAATAGTTACCGGGTATTTTTATTTTATTTTACGCTGTTTGAAGATGTAAAAGTTCACCCTTTAATGATCCATTAAGGAAACAATACCTTGAGATGCAATGGTGTCTTCAGAACATGATGGTGTGGTTGATTGGGTGCCGTAACCACTGGAACACGTCTGTAAAGAATTCCTACTACTCTGAGTGCAGTGACTCTCAGTGTCAATAGAAGTATTGCCCAGTCCACGAGCCAATGCCATCGTCAAATCAGACGTCACGTCTTGGGAGGCCTCCTGCAAAAGGTTAATTGATAAAATGACTGTTCAGTGCTTCATACTTTTCGTATTTTTACCGATGGGTTATCGAAGTTAGTATGTGAAAAATGACGGACTCAATATGTACTGCTTTTTACCTGCATCTGTAGCTGCGCATGCAACTGCCTGGCTGGGACAGACATACTACGTTGACGCTGACTCCCTGATTGACGAGTCTCCTCTCTGCCAGTTCTCTGCTTCAAATCTTGTGGATTCATATATATAGGTTGTGGAACGACTGTAAATTAAACAAATCAAATTTGCAATTGACTAGAGTAATAAAATGCGATAAATATGATTATGACACCGAGTAAGCACGCATTAAATCATACCCATGAAAGTGAAATAAAAGACCTTACCCTGACAATAAATGATATATATTTGAAACAAAATACATACAATGCTATTATACATAAATTGAGAAGGAAAAAAATAAAATAAAATTTAAAACAAAATGACATGAGAGTTGACCTCACCACAAGATGGGTTATACCATTTACCCATGGGGGTGTGTAAGGATCAAAAGAATGGGGATCGGATGAGGTTTGTTAATAATGACTGTCACTTACTCTGCGGTGGACAAAATTCATTAGAATCTGAATCCTGAAGACTGTCATCAACTGTTAAAAACAAAACAACATTGAGCACTGTCTATAATGACACACAATCAGATTCACCCTGCTTGGTTTGCTAGTTTGGTGTTTAATGCACCTGTCAATTCCAATAGAATGATCGTTGAATTTATTCAACAATTGAAAGAAATGGTTCACGCTAAATCTGTATCGATTTTCTTGTTGCAATTAGACAAATGATACTGATTATGTTATTTTTACTCAATAGCATTCAGTGAATGAAATGGGAAGGTAGGGGAGGGGAGAGGAGAAGCGGGGTATTGACAGGTATATTTCCCACCACTCACCTTGTAATCACCACATTATCAAATTAGTCTATGGGACAGTGCAAGCATTGCTCAAGTGTTACTGGAAACATGCACACTATTATAGTTGCTTTGTTCTACGTAGTAGTGCATTACTGGGCAAGTGAAAACACATGAACGCAAGACTTAGCTAACTAAACTGATCTGACTCAAAGAGCTTTTTCTGCAATTCCATGCGACTTTTGCATGTAACCAATTTTAGGTTTCTTTCTGATTTGTGACGCAAGTGATATTCTCAGAGATTGGTAAAAATTTACTGCGCATAGCATGCTTGCTGTTCATGTGTGTGTAGCTATACAGGTTTCTAGGCCTGGATTAGCTATTCTGCTTACTAGGCCCAGACGAGCCTTTCAGGTGCCCAGGCCCAGATTAGCTTTCTTGGTTCCCAGGCCCAGACTAGCTTTCCTGGTTACTAGGCCCAGACTAGCTATTCTGGTTTCTAGGCCCCGATTAGCTATCCTAGTTCTACAACTTAGATTCGCTATACTGATTCCTTGGTACCAGTAGATGGACATAATACATCCCCACATACTGGTGCACTCTTTGTAAACTCATGACTTACCCAATGCAGCAATGGTTAATAAAGCATGTGAAACGCTGATAACTACATACAAAAAACTATACATTGTGCTCAGATAATTTAGATTAGTAATTACACCTATAGCCCTAAGGAAACCATTCACCTTTCACAGAATTGTCATCTATTCATGGTTTCTAAAATAGAACCCGAGTAAGGCTATGAATGAGGGTAAAGAATGACAAATTTATGAATTTTCCAAGAACTCTGGAGAACTCAAGTCTGTTATTATCATGAACTTGCCAATCTTGTCCTCAGCCTGTCAGATTCTCACAAGTCGCCACTACGAAACTCACCTTGATCTACACGGGGTTGATTGAAATTGGGCACGTAAGCTGCGGTTTGGTCTTGTACACGTGATTTCGTTGTTACCAGTGGTCTTTCCGGTGATGGTGGTTTGTTTAACGGAGCTAGTGGTGGCGGCATAGCTTGAGGGCGCTCAGTCTCGTGATTCATCGTGGTGCTCCAGTTACTCCAAGTAGGCGGTGGGGCAGGAAACATCGACTGCTGCGAGGGATTGGACATTGGCTGGGAAGGAACGCTGGTCATTGATTGCACGCTGACAACAGATTCATTGGAAGAAAGTTTTTCACTGGAACCGTCCTGTGAATTAATTTACATGAAGTTAGTGATAAACAACAACCGCAGTGAAAAATTATGTGTGGTGCGTTTGAGAAGTCGTGCAATATGTGAATGAAACCTGTGAAAAAAATAGTCCACTATTAAGCACATATACACAACACAAATGACGCAAACAAGACAAAATGTCAGACACATGCATTGTAACTGCTACTACAATTAATATTCATACAACAATTATTCATACAGTACACCACTGAATGACATCAAACTAAGAAAGCTGTAAATGCAGTGCAACCTGTGAATCTTGCTCCAGCTGTGTGATAACGCTAGGTGTGGTAGGAGTGATGGGTTTCATGAACAAAGCATCCTGCGACAGGAAACCTGAATCTTGTGAGGAGACGCTGTTTAACCTCATAGGTGGAGGGGGAGGTTGTGACATGAGACGGTAGCTGTAGCGGCTGCCGGGTGAATGATGTGAGTTCATTGAACCGCTGGAACGAGAATCTGAACTATTGAGGCTACTTAAACTACACATGCTTGACTTTCGAGAACCAACTGAACCACCCGGTGAACTAGGAGGCGTCTGTAAAGATATAGAGCAATAGACAATAGATAAGGACAAACATAACAGGAGTAAAAAAAAAGACAGACAGTTATGTGATGATACATGTAAAGACACCCATGATGCGATGAAATGCAGGAGGGTGGTACAATATGAACAAACACACACAGTCATACACTTGTATCATATCCATATCAAATTCCATCTTTATGTTTCCCAAATCTCGCATCTTTTGTTGCAAAGATTTTTATTTTTTATTTTAAAGTATAAACATCAGGTAATAATGAAATAATTTTAATGGTGCTAGTTTTCTTCTTTTAACGGGACTCAATCAAGCTGGAACCCTCGTCTAATGAGAAACTGACACAGGAAAGAATAATGAATTGCTGGATGAAATATGGATATGTTTGCAGGTGACGTGTTAGTAAAAGAATAAAGTCACAAATATATGTAATATGATAAGGAATGCAGCGTATGGATGCTTTTCTGCTAGATGTTAGCGTAATGTCGTTTTCACTCTTCTATAAAGACTGTATCATCACAACTTAGTAGAACTAGAAATTAATCAAACTATAGTAACAAGAAAATAGAATCTCAAATCCACTAGTGCTGCAACCTGTCTTATACCATTTTCCCCAAGAGTAGATTTTCCAAATTTAGCTCGGTATATTCCAATTATTTTTACCTGATATGCCCATTTCTGTTCTTGTCCTTTGCAATCTATTATAACTTGTTCGCTAGCGACAGGCAATGTATACGGATCCCCGCACTGATTAGTGATGTCATCAACAATGGTCTGTAGATGCGTAATCTCAGATAACATCGCTATCTCACCATCCTGAAATGAAACATATTTGTACTGTTCAATGCACACAGGAAATACACATCAAAGAATCTTCTAGGGCTGACTATCATCAAGTTAATTATTTTTAACAAAACCAAGTGGACTTTTGCTACAAGTGAAATAGTTTTAGCCAAAGTAGCTGATATTATATTGTTTTTTCTCATCTTGTTTAGCAACTTGGCAAACATCTATTCTATTAAAAGCACATCTCAAACTAAAGCGCACATAAATCCAAAAACATCATTATGAACTATTTTGACCAGACACACCTCTGTCATTTGTGTAATGAAACAAATATACGGTAATATACTTTTCTGTGGGAGATGTGCTAATGTTAATAAATTATTTTTTAGAATAATTCCTGATTTGTAGTTTGACTGAAACACAATTATAGTGATGATCATAGTGGAATCACAATGACAAAATAACATTAATATAAATTATTAATAATCAATATTACTGCATTCATGCACACATTATTCTAAAGGCATTTTTTGCTCAACAAATTTAGGAAAATGGCTAAAATAATGGCTGATTTGTCTTTATTCACTTACCACAACTGGTTTCATGAAATTAACAAACATACAGAATCTACTTCGTTCTTCAATCAATGCATTTCGTACAGCATTTTTTTCGGTTTCTTCTAATATCAAGTATTTGTCATTGACACCTTGCATAGCGCTATCTAGACGATTCTGAACGTCAGATTTGCCTGCAACGTAAATATGAACATGTAAATTTTAAGAATGTATAGTTATTCATAAAAATCACAGTGTGAAAGAAGTAATTGTCACTGGGTTTCAGGGCTTGTATTTTGGTATTGTTAGAGCACTCATTTTTAAAATGCTTTGGTCTCATTGAAAATATGTAGTGAACATTCAAGAACCTAGGCATGTGGGGCATCAAGCCCTGTGGTAGAATTTTAGCGTTTTTTTTTTTTTTCCTTTCTCAAAACGGTATAAGATTGACAGCATATTTAGGTATCAGCGAATTAAACAAAAATGAAACCCAGTGATTATTAAACAACTGAAATCATTGCTGAAAAACATTAACAAAACGCCACCTATAGCGAAAAACGGTATACAAAAACGCAGGAATTTCGGTACACAGCTGTCGATGTGTTAATGTCAGACCGATATAGACCACAGACATTTCTACGTTGCATATATCTCAATCCAGAGAATGTTGTGACATACTAAGGTAGTAGTCCAAGTTCATTCAAACAAGTAAATATACTAGATGTCAGTTACAAGTTGTCAAAGTTAAAAGGTATCTTTGTGTGTAATTTCCAAATTTATTTCGGCCTAACCTATGACCTTCAATTAAATCATGAGAACGAAAGAACGAAAGTAATGAACTTTGACAACTTGAACTTGAAACAAAATTCACTACGATAACTATATACTTATACCAGTGAGTAAGGCATGCTGCAAGAACGAATATAAGACTAGGAAATACACAATGCAATAAAATTTTAAAACATAATATAAGCAGATGCGAATATTGGATGTAATAATATGATGGTACATGGAGGGGAAAAAAGGGTTGCATTTCAAACATGATGATACGGTCAAGTAGTACAATACAAGTTAACACAATGCAAAGACTAATATAGAAACAGGAGGTTATATGTTATGCACAAGCAACGTACTTAAGAACGTTGTACTGTCAATACGCACTGGTGAATCTGGTTTGCCTGTAAGGGAGAGAGTATAGAGAACATGGAGGAGGTTGCTGCTGATAATGGTAGGATTAATGATGCCAGTTACATGAAATCAATGTATTTTTAAGGCAAGGTGAATTATTTTTAATTATTATATAGTGTCTCAGGCGTCATTTCTTTGTTTCAATTACGTACCTTTTCTTGCTTTCTTTTGTAGTCTAATGGTGTCCGAGGATTTCTTCTTTATTTCTTGACGTACTTTTTTGTATTCTGTGAGAAAAAGGAACATAAAATGCCCAATGATTTTTGTTAACGTGATGTCCGTTGCAATATGAAGTTGATAATCAAGAATACAACTGCACCAAAAAATGATTTAATAGTACAGTAAAAAAGATGGTTGGAAAAATATTACTCGGTATTAATTTGAGGTATTTGCTGAAGATCGCAGGACACGATCAAACAAGTCATGTCATGGAAGAGTCCCTGTTGATTCTATGAAACATGACATGACGTATATGTAGTTAGAAAGTTTGATTGCGATCAGTCAATGTATGTCAAGGACATGGCTCTAAAACAGCAATTGGCATTCAGCCATCTTGAATATGATCTGAGAAAAAAACATCATGGCTTTGTGATATAGTTCAATATATGTATCAAGATGGACAATAGCCGTCCATGTATAATCCAGATCTGGGTGTGAAATGCTTGATTTTGATAAATCTTGAATTTCATCATGAAATGAAAAGATATGTATGCTAAAATATATGATGTGATTGGTCAAGGCATGTATGTCCCAGATACAGGTACAGATGGAATGACTGACACACACAGGTTGATTTGTAAGTCTATGTTTTTTTACAGCAAATCAAAATTAATTCGATTTTTTACACATACATACTTAGACAACGTGGTTGACACTGTCATTGATTTTTCAAAAATAGTTTGTCATTTCTTTCCTCACCTTTTGCATGGTCTTTATCTAACTGCGTGACTATCTTCTTCCACTCTTCTACTCTATCTTGCAGTGGAATTACTAAACAATCCATAATGGAACTGAAAAAGAAAATGATGCATCATGGGAAAAGAGATAGCATGAGAGACTAGAGACTTGCATTTAAATTTATTTATTTTTGATGTAACTAACAGGACTTTTTTCAATTAATTAAAGAAGAAGACCAGGCAAACAACATAATGCTTCCAGATAAAAGAGCGCCACAATTTAGTTTTTATATTTTTAATATCACTTTTTATTTTTCTAGATAACAAGTGTTTTGAAATTCTGGCTCCCAATTAAAATGTGATTTCCATCGAAAGCAAGGAATGTGTGTCTAAAAAACATACTGGAAATGTTAGATGTTTGCTGCTAAATTCCTCCAACACCAGAATTTGCAAGTTTATCCCAATAGACTGAAGAGTAATCTAGCCCAGTAACAGACGACTGCAACTCAGTACCGGTAAGTAAATGCCAATTTCACCAACAGAGGGCAGTATGCTCATTTCAACAGCTTGCACCTCCATAAACAGCATTTCTTGAATTTCAATAGTGAAAACAAAATATTTTTATTGCATACTGACGATTACTTGACTGGAATTTATATTTATTGAAAACAGTCATTTAGATTACTTTTTTAGTATCACTGATTGTCAAAAACAACATGTAAACAACAGTCGAGAAAAGAATGTTTTCACTATATTTTATTATCCTACCAATACCTGCTCTACTTGTCAAAAAATATATATTAGTATGACCTGACTCACGATGACGTAAACTGATATTAATATTTAATGGTAATACATACTAAATAGTTAAACGAGTGACCCACCCTCACATCTTGAAAGAATTCTATTTATATGTAAATGACTATTTCCATAAACTTTCAGCTTTCTGCGCCAAATGTATATCAATATGCAAAATATTACATTTTTTAGGTTGGTGTGAAACTCATTTATTTAAAATTGTATATATTAAGGCATTTTAAAAGTGAAAAGAAATGGTGCTCTGCTGAGTGCAAGAATGTCACTGCACACAATTATGCAATGCATTATGGGAGATAACCTCTCATTGTATATAATGGGAAACTATTACTACCCTGGAAATTTACAGAATTAAATTTAAATTTTTTTGAAACGTTTTCGCAATATTAGGATTCATATCAACAATATATTAACAATATAGGACTTTTTCATTTCATGTCACAAAGCAAAATGTTGAGATATGAAGAAATAATCTGTACAAAAAATTTTTTGTTTTCATTTTCGTATTTCGATGGTATGAACTCATAATGACGAAAGCATAACAAACATGACATACAATCTTATTTTGACTTCACCTCCTTAATTATTTTTGTATTTCACCTTGAAGCCAAGATTCATCAGAAATGATGCTTAAGGCATATTTAATAGCAATATCTGTATATATTTGTAAATTGTAAACAGTTGTTTTTACCTGGAAAAATTTCTAAGTTTGTGTTCTATACTTCTGTGCCTCATACACATTCTTGTTAAAGCAGCACCAATTTCTTTTGTAGAACCTGTGAAAAATCACAAAATTAAATTACAGTTATGAAGGTGATGACCTACAAGCAACAATAAACGATTCCTACATCTCATTCTGTGAAATGAGCATATTTCATTGTTTAATGAAGTATAAAACAAAGTGGCACAGTTCTTGCAAGTACAGGGAGCCCTCAACAGATCTACAATGAGTAGCTTATGTTACAAATGAGAAATGATAGTGAGTTTGATAAATAAAGTATCACATATCAAATTAAATCCTATGCGATAATGTAATCCCCCCCAGGAAATCTGCAACAATAAAATCAACAAAATGTAAAAAAAAAAAAAAAAAAAAAAAAAAAAAAAAAAAAAAAAAAAAAACCTTGAAAGAGGCTACAAAGTAATGCAAAAACTCAAGGCTATAAATATGCTTGGCCATCATGTCTGGCAAGTAGGGTTAAACTGAGTATGCACTGTAAATTAAAACATGATAAACAACCCAGTCTATCAACACAAGACAGTCTTCTGTAAAAAGAGATACAGTACAATAGCTGTAGGAACTCAATGGAAACGTACCTGATCAGTAAACACAATACAAATATTATATAACCAAAGCAAAAACTGAAGTACACACGTACTTGAAAGCATACCCATAGGTCAATGAGAAATATACACAGTTCACGACCGCCACATAATAATTATACCGATTGGGATATGTGACTCCCAACTTGAATGTTGAATGATTTATTTTGCATGTTATATATACATAACACTCAATTTTTCACTAACAAGGAGGGGAATCACACCAGGCAAAGGTAAACAATCATTATAGTATTTAGTTACAAACTCCAGCAAGGTTGGGGGCATCAAGGGGCAGCAAACTACTTCTCCTCCCAGAATTCCTCTGCCTATGCAAACATGACACACATTTCATAGGTCGTAAATAATTCAGTATTATGCAAATTAGCCACATTCCATCCACACGATCAGGAGGATTATTGCATGTATGTGCATTTCTGAAAAATGTATAATAATTAGGGAAAATATTGATAAATGGGTAGTATTATTAATGAGGCTGAAAGAAGTATGTAGCTGGAGGTGAAATAGAGCAGGGCGCATACATGTACGTATCACCTCCGGGCATTGCTGTCTAGGAATCGTGTCGTACTCGATATCAACACACCATAGTGAGTGCTAATGTATGCAGTATTGCAGTTTAATCGGAAGTCGTCTGGCTTTTCTAAACAGAATATATTTACGAAACGACTCAATATAACACTACAATTTCCAATTATCCCGGTGATGCTATTTTACATGATGAAATATACATACACGGTTACATGCAAATATTTTGACTGATATACGTATGAATTTCAATCAATTTCTATTTTTAGGCATCATCAGGAGGAAGGGCAATTATACCCGTATTACTCCTGGGACGCAGGTAAAAACATCATTTACATTGTTATGAATTAAATTACTAAAACGTTTGCCCTGCCCTTATATTTCGGGAGCGTAAACATAATAAACGACATGTGGCGATATCAACACGATAATTTAATATGAAATGAACAGGGGGACATTTGAAAATATGAAAATAAAATAATCCGATAATAAATGAGTAACGTGCTTCCATTAAACCCCATATGGTATGCAAAATACAATAAATATTCAAAACCGCATATAAAATGTTAAACCAATTTTATAATAGTGAGTTTAAAATGCAACAGCAGCAGGACGTTACTGACCACTGTGCTTAACATGTTGAAAGACATAAGTAATGAGCGATGTTTTTACATTCCTATACATCAAATATTTAATGGACTTTTAGATCCGTAATAGAATATTTTAATAATTCCCAAGTATTCAGAGATAATTGGTTGTCCCAATTAAAACAAGATATACTGGGAGTTTTTTTTACAGAGGTAATTGTTGTGATGCTTCCATGTCACTGAATGCACAAAAATGATGTATTGTTTTTTGTACTATTAATAAATTAGTAAACAATATGCTTGTACATGATATATTTTTATTGAAACTACTAATAATGTACATTTGCCAGAAAAATGATCATTAAGACAAGGCCAGTTATGAACCAAATTAACATTTTTCTAAACATACATGTATGATAGTTGAGTCTTGAACTTGTTTCCATGGGAGCAAGAATTTTAACTCTCTCCCCTCATTAGCATTATTCTCCAAACTAACAAACATTTTGAGAACTTTGTAAACCTAGATAACATATGCAAATACATTTACATAAATGGGTTTTACAATAATTTCGGGTTTATGTGCACTCACCAAAACATGGTACATTTACAGGTGTACTTTTCTAAAAGAACAATGACCATATCCTGCGTATTTTTTCTTAAGATAATGGAATGTGTTGTTGAAAAGAAATGTTACTTATGTATATGACAAACATCTTAACATTCTAGTCCTACTTTGCCCCATATAATCCCCATACATATCGAGTATCATATTGAAAATTCATTCTAATAGCAGTGGATAATAAACCAAAAATCATATTTGAATCACATATTTTTACTATAAAAACACTATACTAATTTACATAATTGCATACATTAATATAGCAAATATGGTAATTAGCCATTATTCATTAGCCAATCAAGCGGAATACTATAATGACTTACGTTGGAATACTTAAAATACAATTAGGTTTATGCGAATCTCAAAACAACAAATACAGTATAGTTATTTCCATAAATATTGGAAACCATTCTGTCTGAGCCCAAAGCTATATAACTGCCATTACTCGGCTCCATCATGTGTGTTTTGAAATGCCACACTGCCCTCCTGGACAATGTTAAATGAAGCGTCTTAAAGTAGAGTAGACAGGAAATGAAAAGTGGTCATTAGCAAGAACATCACATCGTTAATGATGATGAGGCTGGTAATTCATGTAGATAAGAAATTGAGGGGGGCATTAAATGAGGGGGGTGGGCATCACTCAATAATGAGGACATTGATTGTATATTACTCAGTTTACTTGACACTTGACAAGAACTTCCTGGCTCCACAGTGGATTTTAAAAGCAATAACATTGCAATTAATTATCAATAAACAGTTTAAAACATCATCACACGCTGATTTCCTCCATGAACACACTTGACCTCTTTGTCATCTATTTCACTAACTATATCAAATTAGAGTTGGGGGGAGGGGGGTCCCCCAAAACAGCATCCCACCAATCAATGTCATGTATGATCAAAGGTCATTACTGTACAATACTGATGTCACAATGGAAAATTGAAAGTCTTGCAGAATTTGAGAAGCCGACTTTGGAGTTAATTATCTCCTTTAAGTTCAAGCATATTGTACGTTTACAATAGAACAGTGCGGCAAACCAAGATAAGAGACAAGGAATAGAATAAATTAGTAATAGGACACGGACATGCGGTTACGAAGGGTACGATCTTTCAGTCTGCCTAACTATGTTTAAAAGAGTTTTGCTTAATACACCCCCACAGAAATACCAATCGTATGGTACTTTACTGCTTAATTTTTGTGCGATAAATTTTGATGAATTTGAGGAAAATTTGCAGCAGTCAACATGTTTTAACCAGACACTGCTCGTAGTCAAATTAGAATATTGTAAAAGTTTGAAGGAGAGTTATTCCAGTCAATTTAGTTAAAAAGAGAATTGTTGACACAACATGTATACAGCCAAATTACGATTCTGTTGATTCAGACATTGAATAAAACACTGGGCTATTCAGACAATCACTTGCAAGTGTGAAAGATACTCCCTGAAATGAACAGGCGAATTGACAACATCATAGATTAAATCAAAATTAAGTGTGAAAATGTAATTCTCATAACAATAACATACTATTACCATTATCTTTTAAGAGAAATCTGTCAATCTTTGAATCAAATCTTTTCCCGCTTACAGATTTTAAGGCTGAGTACCGGGTAACTCATTCACTAGGTTTCCTTTAAATTGGTATTTTGCGAAAAAGAACTGCTGAGGAGAGGAGCACTGAGCTCACTCCCAAATAGCATGTAATATTTGTAAGAACAGTCTGCCATTAATCGTCAAACAAAGCATAAACAAACTACATGCATTAAAGTGTCAGTGCCTACATGTACATATCACTATCTACCAATAAACTACTCATAAGTATGGTATATGCAGATTACTTTCAACACTGGAATTTAAGTTCGTCTTTTCTAGTACCACATTTTCTTTATTACCGGTAGAAGTGTATGCGCTTACGACACATGTATGTGAATGACCAACGTAAAAAGTCGGCATAAATGGATCAGTGTAAGATTGGTGTCATGAAACCATACTAAATGTAATTTTGCTCATATTGCTGGAGATGCAGTTCTAATAAGTCAAATACAGTACAGTACGTCTATAAAATGACCTCATGAGATACACTGATGGGAACCATCATGCACACTCCAATGACGATAACGAAGTACGTGACAAGTCCCGATAATTAACTTCACATCTAAATAAAGCTATCCAAAATTAGGCAGCCTATATATGGGTCACAGATCATCTATAGAAGAGACAGCGACACCCTGGCGGTGAAACCTCGCTAAAACTACCAGCATGGGGTGGTGAACAATCCATCGATTGTTGTCAATACTGTTATTTGCATGTCAATTTCAATGAATATGCAGTGAAGCAAAAGTAAATTCTAGAGCATGTCAAAACTAGTTTTTTTTTTCTAATCCAGACTAGGTCTCTGTCACACTAAGGTACTGTGTTTTGCAGGGAATGGCTAGATTCTGTGGAGGTCGGGCATCAGGTCAAGGGAGTGAATGTGACTGGCCATTAAATTTACATCATGATATAATGCTTGAAAATATGCTCTATTTACCTAAATATCGCTCATTTACAAACACTGAGGGAGAGAATGTGAAACTAAATTAGGATTGTATGACATCAAAGCCTTGTGCAGCAGGGCTTTGTCTTAACACACAGATGATGATAAATCAGCTACACATATGTGTGTTTGTTTGAGAAGGTTATGATCCAGGAATCGGCTTCTTAAAAGTC